AAAGACTTAAAGCGTAAGGGAAAAGGAACAAGCCTAATGCCTCAGATGCTTTGAGTGAAGAAGATAGAGTAAACTCGTAAGCGACCACCTCGGGATCAGGAAAAAGTGGTCGCTTACGAGAGATGGTCGCTTACGAGAACGTTAGCACAGGAAACCCAAACAATAATCATAACACAGGAGTCCCATTAGTTCAAAACACGTTCGTATTTCAGTGTGTAAAATCTTTGTACAATGGTACTGCTTCCATGCCAGTCCGCAAATTCTTGAAGTAATGTTTAAAGGCCGACAATGAGGACCTGACGGGATTTCAAAGTCCGCGCAATTAGTTCCAGTCCGAGGCGCTAGCCGAGGACTGGAACTAATTGCAAGGACTTTGAAATCCCGTCAAGTCCGAATTGGAGGCCTTTGAACGACTTCAAAAACTCATTAATTATTCGGGAGGGAAAAAAGCGAAGGAAATACATACAACAGAAATATACTGATTTATTGCATCTCCACTAAGGTTTTCAGTTTTCATAATTTTGAATGCATGAAGCACCGTTTGTTGTTCTTCAATTCCCGGACGGCTTTCTGAAACAAAAGCTATTCAAATTGTCTTTGTCTGCTATTCATGGCATTCCTAATGAGTCTAATCCATAAGATTTATAGCGGAGCTCCCGCGCGGGCCGAAGGACCGCGCGAGCGGAGCACCATAACTAAGGGAAAATGGTAAACCCATGGGGTTGAGTTTTGATCAACCGACACAGGAAGCCCAGTTGTCCTTCCGTACGTCCGTCCGTACGTCCGTGTACATCGCGATTCTGATTGGCTAGTTTTGAGAAGGCGGGAAAACGAAGCGCGCTCGCGGACTGTAGCGCTGGCGTTGAAACAACTTTTTCACCGCAACGCGAACGACTCCATTTTTGTCCTTTCAAATACTTGACTTCTGCTCCAAATGTCGGAAAATCAACGGGTAGCTAACGGAAAGCGATCTTTATCTGAAGAAGAAAAGACAAGAAGAAGAGAAAGAGAGCGTCGAAGAAGTCTAAGTGAAGAACAATGCAGGCTTGAAAGGGAAAACATGAGACGAAACAATCAAGTTTATTAAGACTCACAATCAAATCGAGAAACAAGTGAACGCGCCAAAGACAACGATTATTGATGGACAATTTCTCAGAGGAGAACTGACATACTTTCTGACGATACCGTGGCGTTATTAAACAAATGGCGGTATGTCACTCTTATGTGCAAGCGGTTTTTGGTGCTCAAATTATATCAATTCTTCTACTTCAAGAAGTTTTAATCTGGTTTAAATTTGCTTTTGAATTTGAAAATCTCCATCTGATACACTTCAAAACTTCTCAATTAAAAGAGCTTGTTGAAAATGAAAACATGTGTGAATTGTGTACACGTACATTCTATCCACAATAACTTAATAATCTTCTTTGACATAAAACTACTCGGATGTTTTAATTGATAAAACTATGCATTTTGAAAAGATTTTTACTCTTTATTCTTCAATAAACTCTTTAATACAAACTGTCAACAAATACAGAGAGCAAAGATAAGCAAAGAATTTGAGAATTTGAAAAATGGATAATCATTATGAACATTATGATTCCTTTGTTTACAAAACTTTCAAAATGTATTTATTACTTATCATTAATGATCACTGTATGTCAAAAATGTATTGATTAGTGTCATTCCTGTTTGATTAAATTATTATTACGTATGCTTCCTGTGTGATTTAAAAACCACCAAAACTGTCAAATTGCATAAATGACCCATAAATCATTTTTTTGGATCACTGTATGATTGAAAAATATCAACTGCCAAAATGTATTTATTATTATTTATCATTCCTGTGTGATTAAATAAAGGATATTACATGGGTGCATGGANAGGATCGCGGACTTGATTCTCGACTCATTATTTTCTTTCTGATCAACTGAAATGAAGTTGTTATAGTCGTGTTAATTTTTTTCTGTGGATATTCATTTAACAATTATTTTCGAGCCGTTATTTTGATTTTTACACAGACTATCGTACTCAAATAGCGTCGAACTTAGGATCGCGGGTTCGATTCTCGACTCGAGCAGCTTTTTTCTTTATTTCTTTCTTTAACTTTAAAATATGTACTCGTTCTTTTTTTCTAAAATCATTTTATGCAAAGCAAACTTTCATCTTCTAAGTTCTTTGATGATAATGCGAATGCAATCTGAATGCTAAATTTTCAAAAAAATGATGCAAAATCTATCAAATCGATCGCGGCGCTGGTAAAAGTGTATATAGTTAAGTAACAATGCGCTAAAGAACTAGGGAACTCTCTATTGTTCTGCGGCATAGCGAGTTCCCCATGTACGAATGTCTTGGTTTTCACACTGATTATGTATTAACCTGTGGGTAACACATTTTTGAAATAAAATGTGGATAAACTCTATTTTGAAACAAAGTTTCTTTTGTATTAAAAGCTCTTATCCAATCATAAGCACTCAAAACAATAGCCAAAAGATGCTTCTAATTTGCAATGTTCCCCACATAGAATTGCCTTAATATTGAAGCTAAAGAATGCTTCCATGAAAGCGAAAACAGACATTAAATAAAATATTAGAAAAATTCCCTAACTTGTGAAATTATAGCAGATTTTCATGTTTTAACCAATGGAATGGATGGATTATACAATGCACAATTAGCACCTTCTTGCATTCCTTTGCCGTTTGCTTCTCTAGTTCTTACTCGGGGCATTACTTAACTCTCTTTGAACGACCACTCTCGTAAGCGACCATCTCCCGTAAGCGACCACCTTTAAGGTTTCCCGTTTTGTTTCTCATATAAACTCTGCAAAAAAAACTCTCTTGTAGGCGACCACTCTTGTAGGCGACCACTCTTGTAGGCGACCGCGACCACCTTTGGGATTGAAATTGTAGAATKTTTCATTGTTTTTCCTCTCCCGTAAACGACCACCCTCGACTGATGCAATAAAAGCGTGTGTTTAATTTACTTACAAAGCTTACACAAATTACATTTCCGGTTACTTTAATAGATTACAAACCGTAAAAGCGTACTATTGACTATCAAATACACTATAATATCCTAGTTCTATTGAAAACAATAGAATTAGGACATTAAAATCAACTTCAAGAATTTGCGGACTGGCATGGAAGCAGTACCATTGTACAAAGATTTTACACACTGAAATACGAAAATACGAACGTGTTTTGAACTAATGGGACTCCTGTGTTATGATTATTATTGTTTGGGTTTCCTGTGCTAACGTTCTCGTAAGCGACCATCTCTCGTAAGCGACCACTTTTTCCTGATYCCGAGGTGGTCGCTTACGAGAGAGTTGACTGTCTGGACACGGTATATGTTCCACGAAGTGGTTCTTGTTTCCTATGCGTTTCGTCTCTTAACAGAGACTTGTACATCTATAAATGAAACCTCCATGAGGAAGTGACTAAAAACTTACATATGCTGGTATGGAACGTGAATAACAACGTTGTGACTAATGTTATTGTTATTTTGTAAATTCTCCCATCATTTAACATGATTTAATCCTCAGGATAGATCTGAGACATTTATTTTGAGGTATCCAATTTTTTTCATCTTCTTTGGTCAAATTCCAAGTTTCGCAGACGTAAAATAACAAAACAGGTTCAACTAGCGAGCCAAACATTTTTAGTTTCGTCTTCCTTCCAATTCCTCTYACTRRCCAGWCCCTCCCTAARCTACTTTTAAACACACCACGAGCTTTCTGAATACGGTTGGCAATGTCCTTATCTCCACATCCTTCTTTGTCTACCGTTGCTGCTAAATATATAAAATCATCTCAGTATCCTCAACCTGGTCTATAGTTGTTGAAAATGAATCCCTGAAGAGGTCTACGTTAATAGACGAAACGCGTACGAAATTAAAAAAGTTTATAGCTATTCTAAGAGTTCTCCTTATAGTGCTGCTCACTCCACCACCCCCTCCGACTAAAAAAATGAAGGAAAAGAAGAGAAAGGGCGAATCGATATTGATTTTCCTCTGCGTTTTTATCATTTTAACTGATTGAATGATATTTGTTGTGCAATATCTTAGGGGTTAAAAATCAGTCACCCACGGCCTTTTTTCAAGACGTCCGGGATCTTTTAGGGGTCTTTTTGAAAATTTCTGATTTTCTTATTAGAATTCTTTATATAAAGGAGTGTGTTTTTTTCAGATATAAAGGTCCATGCATGTGACCAAATAGGCTCATTCTATTGGCCAAATAACTCATTAATTATGTATGAGTATTTGAACGATAGTTAAATGCTGTTGCGCTTTTATGAGATCAAAAYGCCATTCGCTTACAAATGTTTTAGCCATCAGCAGAAAGCGCATGTGCAGATCGTATGCAGCTTCGAGTAATATGTTTTCGAAACTGAATCAATGACCTTTCTAGCTTTAGATGTGTCTTGTGTRGGCAAAGATTTCAAATTAGAACAAGAAGAAACTTCGTTTATCAATAACAAAAAGGCGACTTTAATTATTTTATRGGCATYTTTTATTTTGTAAAGTATTTATTTTCTTTCCTGAGATGTCGATTTTAATTAAAAACGTATAATATATCACTGATAATCAAATGCATGGCGACATTTAGTTTATCAGTCATGCAAAAAGCAAGGATTTATCTAAAACAGTCGCCTGTCAAAAAACTTTGATAAGTATACTTTAAGTAGGTTCTCTTCTATAAACATTGCATTAAAAATTATTTAATTAGCCAGACATGGTACGGTGTTACTCTATCTCTTGTTTACATGAGCTTTTAGGTCAAAATTTTTTAAATCTTAAATCTTACGGAATTTTGCATATTTTGAACTAGCCGCTCTTAGAGCGTGAGGTCGGGCTAGCTATTTTGGAAAATTAAGAAAGACAGAATATTACGTTTATACGCRCATCCATRTAATATCCTGTCTTTMTCAATTTTCAAAAATAACTAGCCCGACTTCACGCTCTAAGWGCGCCTAGTCTTTAAAAATCTTACAGGATATCAAACAGGCTATTGCAGTGATGCCAGGGCAGTCGATCGTCATCCCATCAAAAGGTAATATTTTTTTGACGGAACTGCGTTCTAATTAAAGTTTGACAACAAATCACTCACAAAACATTAGACGGCTGTAGACCGCCTGTAGACAGGAGAGGTARTATCCAGGCATATATACGTGCACTATGCGTGGCCTATAGGTGAGAACCACAATCAACACTTGACGGGRCGGATGCACAACAATGTACATCATAGGCTTTTAGAACATAACCGGAAAAAAAACTTCAATTAGAATAAATTTGACGGATTTTTGCGATATAATTTTAAATTATATCACTCAAGAGCATTTAAGTCTTGTATAGCGATTTGGCGAAACAACTAGTTTACACGGTTCTATTTTCCAATGGTTTCCATTAAAAGGTCCTGGCTTCGGACCCGTTAGAAAATTAAAGAGAAAGAACTTGTTCATCTTTTTGTACTTTTCAGCTTGGCTATGATATTTAAAAGCAGACAAGGTTTCTATGATATT